CCCCCCCCCCATTTCATATGCGACGCCAACAGTGGTGCCCCCTGTTTCCTGATGTTTTCGTCTGCCAGTTGTCTCGCTTCCCGGACAAAGCCCCCAAACGCGGCCCCTCTGTTTCTATCCCACCCAACAAAGAGTAACCTAACCTTTTTGGCAGGTCCTCCGCCTTTCCTAACGAAGAAGTTTCTTTCTTGCCATATTACCTCTTGTTGTTCTGCTGTTGCAACACGAACTCACGAGCAGCCCGGACGGCGTGTTTCTGCTGACCGAAGTTCCTCCGCCTTTTTCAGAACGAAGTGGAGACTTGTTTTCTCGTTCTTGAGGAATTATGTTCCCTCTTTTTCTGCTGTTGCAACACAAACGGACTGGACTGGTGGGTGGACACAAACGGACGAGTAGCCCAGACGACGTGTTCCTGCTGACCGAAGTTCCTCCGCCTTTCCCAACGGCGTAGAGCTCTTTTATTATTCATTTTCCTCCCCTCTTTTGCTGCTTTTGCGACACGAATGGACTGGACGGACGGACGGGCGGACGAGTAGCCCGGACGACGTGTTCTTGCTGACCTCGGCGGTGGACAACGAGGTGAAGCAGTACCTAGCCTTGGACGGACGGCTGCACATGGACCTCGACGTGCCCAAGACGGGCTTGGACGAGAACTTCACCAGGTCCTACTACACGTCCAGCGGCAGGTGGGGGTTGCGGTGGCGTTTGAGGGGGGGGGTTGCTCTTGGTGTGTTTGTCGAGCGTGTCATGGTTTTTCCCTCCCCCGCCGAGAACGAGAACATAACAAGACCTGCGTCTGCTTTCCTCCTTCAAGTATGTCCTGTACACCCCGTATTTTTCTCTTCCTCATCTTGATACACAAAAGCTACCATGGTGCTTGTGTCCGATAATAAATAACCTTGCCCCGAATTATTTTTCTGCCTAAAACCTAAACGGTGTGCTGTTCCCGTCGTGCATGCATGCGTCATCGTCTGCCGTGAAACGAGACTTCTCTGAAACGGCACCCGCGTTGAAACAATTGTTTGAAACGGCACCTGCGTTGAAACGACACTTGCTTGAAACGGCACGTTTTTTTTCCCAGGCTCATCCTCTCGGGGTCCTCGGAAGAGCAGACGGTTCGCCTCTACTGCGCTCAGACGGGGCGGCTCATCCACTCCGCTGAGATGTACCCTGGCCGCAAGCACGGGTCGCTGTACGTGCAGTCCTTGAGGTGGGCACTCGTGCGGGGGGTGTATACAAAAGCGTGGGTCGCCGTGGGTAACATGACCGAGGATATCGTACACCCCGGACCGATGTTCACAGCTTGATTTCTCCTCGGCAAAAACCGTTGGAACTGTCTCGTCGAGAGCGTTCCGAAAAACGCAGTCGTCTGATTCATGTACCCTCTTGGTCGTGGCGTACCGCATGACGTAAGATACCACCCCCCTAGACCCTTCAAATCTCGCAAGGGGGTGCGGTGCGGCAAGAGCCCGATACGTCCACGGAACGCCCTCGACAAGCTATTTCGAAAACCACCATTTTTAGGTGTTGGCGCAATCGTTGTGGAGGAATCGAGCGTTGAAAATCAGTCTAGGAGGAGCGCCGTCTCTCCGCCTCTTACGGAATTGTATGGTACGGTATACGGTAGGGTACAGACAATCTTGGTTATGGAGCAATCGAGGTTGAAAATCGGTCCAGGGGGGGGTGCCATCCCATCCCTCTCTTGCAGCAATCGAGCTTTGGCAACCGGTCCTGCGGGTGTGGTATCTTACGTCATGTCACCTACGGCAGTTGTACGTGCAGTCGCTGGGGTGTGCACTCATGTCGGTGCGTTTTCGTACCGTCTACTGGTACAGTATTGTAGGCGCCAGTGTACCACAGCTTTTGTCATGTGTTCGATGCGCCCGTCGGGGTCGCACAACGGGGGGAACGGGCTGTATACATGAAATCATTCGAAGCACACGCACGGGACTGAAGACGTTATAAAAGCTTTTGAATTAGACATGCGTAGCACTCCGAATGTTCTAGGTACTGGTGGACCCGAGCCCAACAACGCTATTGCTGCAACTTATGTTTTTTTTTGCTTCGGTAAAGTAACCCTATAAAACCCTGTATCGCTCCTGTGTGTGTTCCTGTTTTTATTTTGTGTGTGTTCCTGTCTACTACTCAGGGGCGATCCCCACCACGACTTCCAGTTCAGCGTGCTGGTCAACTACCGAGATACTGCGTACCCCCTGGAGATCGTGAACGTGGACATGCTGCAGGGGACCGGCGGGTGAGAATTCGGGGGGTTACACCCGGACGACGGTATTTCGTCTGCGTGGACCCTCGAATCTCGCTGTGTTGTCTTTTTGTGCCTTGCTTGGTCTCAGTCTCCCATGGTTGTACTTGTTGTTGTTGCTGCTGCTGCTGCTGCTGCTGCTGCTGCTGCTGCTGCTGCTACTGCGTTGCTGCTGTGAACAGTTGCCTTTTTTTGTTCGTGTGGGTGTTCCGGAGGTACCAGGCAGAGGCTAATCCGGTTGAAACACGAGGAATACAATAGTGTAGTCTCAAAAACCTTGGGTTGAAAGTGATATATTATGTCACTTGCGCCACTTCCGTCTGGGCGTCTGCACGACAAAAGTACAGCAGTAGCAATTTTTGGCGGAATCCGTCCTCCACAAAGATATGTAACTGTTACGGTGACTGCTGACCTTCCGAAGCCTACCCGCCGTTTGTTTTCCAGCGAGGGTTTGAGGTCTCTGATGGCCTCGTCCTCTCGCCTCTCGCCGACATGAAACAAATATTTTCCCACCCCTCCCGTTGACCCGGCATGTCGCTCGGTCCCGGCATTGAAGGGTGCTAGGTCAATGGTCCAACGACTACGGCATGCGTTTACCCACTTCCCCCCCGTCCCCCCATTGAACCCCCGTGTATTTTGCAGGGAGGACCTGAGCTCTCTCATGGCGTACGCCTCCTCCTCTCGACTCTCCGCCGACCTTCGGCGAGCCTGCGTGGACAAGCAGGGGGCCGACCTCTTTCTTGTGGCGAGAGACCGATCGCGCTTCCCCGCACACAAGGCGGTTGTTGCTTGCCGCAGTGCTGTGCTCGGGGGTCTCCTGGCCAAGGCTGCCGCTGCTGCGTCGTCAGAGGAGGGAAAGAAGGACGCTGCTGCGGGTAAGTTGTTGTGGTGTCGTCATCGTTGTT